CCACTGCCTTGCTATCATAATATAACCCCCTACTTACCTATGAAATCAAATTTCCGGGTTCAAATAATCCAATTTTTCACACATTTGACACTGTCTAACCATATTGCTGTACAATATTAGTCTTAAAACACACAAATAATTCACTTTCCAAACATAAAATATCAGAAGAACCTCACAAAAACGATTTCACGATGCTTTCTAACAAAAGGCAACAAGGCACAATCAAACTGACGTTAACTGTCAGCTTTGACGCCGTTTTACTATGCGATGTTGTCACGTTGAAAAATAAATAAGGATACTTGAATAATAACAATATTTTCTAAGCTCCTTTTTTACTAAAACAAACAACTTGAAATTATCAAAAATCTGCATTGAGCAGTTTTTCTAGTTACTCAGTTTATTTGCACTTTTATTAAATTTAAAAAGGCATTTTTTCCCTATTTATTCGACGAGAAGTCCAATAAAGGTTTTTTCCAAAATATAATTGGCAACATGTTGATTCGTCTAGGATGGCGTTTAGACTATGTTTTCTCAGTGGCACCTCGTCAAAATGTAAATAAAGGCCTCTATTGTTTTTTATTCCTCTGAGGTGTTCACTATAGGGCAAGTACACGATCTGACAGTTTGACACTATTGAAAATCGCCTTGAGGTAAAACAAAGATATAATTTATAGTGTTTTTTAAGTTTTTAGTTAGATTTTTTTAAATAAATACCTTTTGTGTGCTCCAGAAGTTTCTTGGACATGCCTAGAGTTTGTTTAGTTGTTAATTGTGGCAGTATAGCGCAAGGGATACAATATCGTTCCATAGGTTTCCATCAATTTTAAATAACAAGGGGAGGTTTGATTTGTTAGCTCAAGAGAGAAGAGAAAAATTGATTAATGTTCTTAAAAGAGAAGATCTGACAGAAAAATACAGTGAATATAGAGTAACTATACTTATAAATTTGTTCTTGTGACACTTTGGTCTTGATATTTGATGGAAAAAACCTGAATTTAATCCATTATAGAAAAACCTAGCAAACTTTTAGATGAAATACCACATAGACTGGAACACAAACACTCCGTTCTAACTTTTTTAAAGCAAAATAACACCAAAACTTGTGAAAAAGCTGTGAAAGCCGCATAAAACATAACTGGCCTAATCTAAACGAATGTAAATAAATGATTTGTTTTACCTCAGGGTGACTGTCAAAACATTTGTGACGTCACATGGACATGCCCTATAGAGTTCATATTTATTTTCATTTATTTATATCATTTTAGCAGAAACGTTCAACACATTGTCAACAACATTTTCCTAAATCCAAAATGATTTTCACTCGGATTTTCATTTCATAAAAAAATACCATGGGTCATCACCATTGGTATATTGGAAACGTTAAGAGATAGCTACAAGAGCGGTTAAATTTGAAAAAAAAAATGCAATTTTTGATGGTTATTAACATTACAAGTGCGTTTATGAGCATGATTACAATAACGAGTGTGAAGAATGAGTTTATAATCATGTTTAAGCGCACGTGTGATGTACAATGTTTTATCTACAAAGCGAAAAATAAGAAGATTTTTCCAATTATTTTCATTCATCAATAGTTGTCTATCTTCATTTTACCTTTACAGGTTTTTTTTTTTTTTTGAAAATCGTTTATTTCTTAAATCATTCATTACAATAACAATAATACAATTTCTCTAAACAGTGCCTGTAAGCACTGGTCTTGAGAAAATAATCTCAGTTTTTGTTTACCTTATGTCTAAGTGTTGCTTAAGCTTTTTTACAAATGTATTGAAATTTCTTACATTTTTAATTTCTCCAGGTACCTTATTATAAGATTTGGAAGCTCGGACTATTGGATTATTGAGACCTATATTAGTTTTAGTTACAATTTGGTAAATATCACAGTTGGTTCTGGTATTATAGTGGTGTACATCATTCGATAAAATAATATTAATATTGCTCTTCTGACTTTGTTTTAATATTTTATGCATAAGTTTATCCTGCTCGAATTCATATATTTTAATTATCGGACTTATGTTTAGCTCTTCATATAATATAGCTGAATTTGTGAGTCTGTCAAAATTGAATAAAATTTTCACAACCGTATTTTGCAATGTCATAATCTCAGTAATATGACACTGGGCACTAGATCCCCACACGGGAATAAGATATCGTAAGTGAGGCAGAACGAAAGCATTATAAACATTATATTTAGATTTTTTTGTTAGATAGTGTCGGTGCTTAAATAATGTAGGTATAATTGGAAGAATTTTTTCGCGCATGTAGTTTATATGCATTGACCAAGTAAGTTTATCATCTACAACCAAACCAAGATATTTGATATGGGTAACCTGTTCAATAGAAACATTGTTTATTTGAATAGATATGTTTTCGGTTATTTTATTTTTTTGCTTAAATATTATATATTTTGTCTTATCACCATTAATTTTTAATTTGTTACAGTACAGCCAGTGCATATATTTCTTTAAATCAGCATTAACTTCAAAGCATAAATTATTTTCGTCACTCCCAGTATAAACCAATACCGTATCGTCGGCAAAGGTAAAATATCTGGCATTTACCCTAGAGTATTTTAAGCTTAAGACATAGAGGGAGTACAACAGGGGACCTAGTACAGATCCCTGAGGAACTCCACTTCTGCTAATCAAAAATTCACTACTATATTTTTCTAGTTTGACATATTGTTGACGATTAATAAGATATGTTTCTATTAAACCATGTATAGCTCCCCTGAAACCCATATTACTTAGCTTTTCCAATAACAAATTAATATCTACAACATCAAATGCTTTCCTTAAGTCAATAAAGACTGCCACCACAAGCTGACTCTTATCTAAAGCCCTAGAGATGAAATCAACAAAATCCACAGTTGCACTTAAGGTATTGCTATTTTTTATAAAGCCATATTGATACTTATCAATTTCTATAAACTTTTCAATAAATGACAGCATCCTCTTTTTCATTATTTTTTCTAATATTTTGGAAAATACACTAAGGACAGAAATTGGTCGGTAATTATTAGGTGACGTTTTTGCTCCTGCTTTGTAAATAGGGCTTATTTTGCTAACCTTGAGTTCATCGGGAAAAATACCACTGGTAAATACTGAATTAATTAGGAGTGTTAATATTGGAGTTATGTATTGCTGTAGGTTTAATATATCCCTAACTGAAATCTGGTCATGCCCCGGAGCAGAGTTGGGTTTAAGTTCTAGTATCACTTCTAGGACTTCAGTCTCATTAGTATATTCCAAGTAGCAACTGTTTCCTATGTTTATTTCATTATTATGTATATTGTAATTAAATGCTTGTCGTTCTGTTTCTACCTCTTTCATAATATTTTCCCCTATTTTAGTAAAGTGTTCATTTAATTTATTTACAATCAAATCCTTATTCTGTATCTCAGTATCATCCACAATTAGCGAATTTATTTTAGTTTCACAATAGCCTTCCTTGATTAACCTATTTATAAATTGCCACTGTCTTCTAGCGTTTGTACCTGTCTGTTCCCATTCATTTTTAAAATACCTATTTTTTAACACCCTTATTTTATTATTGATTCTATTTTTTAAAATATTGAAATTTTCTGCAATTTGTACATCATTTGGTCTCCTAATCTTAATTTTATACAACCTATCCCTATCCTTCATTAAATCTAGAACTTCTTGATCCATCCAATAATTTTGCCTACATCTAATACTTTTTACATACTCCGACCTACTCTTACAGCTAGTGATTATGTCTGTTAATGCACTGAAAGATGTTATCGTATTATTATCACCGATCTTATTTTCAAATAAATTTTTAAATTTAAGGTGATTAATAGCTTTAATGTCATAGTTAATTTTTGGCTTCGCTATTTTTATATTATGGAGGATGTTAACAAGCAATTGATTATGGTCAGAAAAAGAAATTGGCGCTACATTAACTTTACAATTATATTTACAATTTTTATCAATCAGAACAAGGTCAATAACACTTCTACTATTTGTTGTTATTCTGGTTGCGGATTTATTTGAAATTGTGTTTAACTTTGACATTTGTCAAATCACCAAAAATAGTTGTGTTATAGACTCATAACCTCGTCCATAACACCACTAGTTGTGTTATGAATTCATAACCTAGTCTATAACACCACTAGTTGTGTTATGAGTCTCATGATGTAACTCAAATACTAGAAAAATGGTTATGTAAAAACGTCATAACCAAACGTTTGCAGATAAAAGAATATTTCTATTTTTGTTGTTGCCAAATTTCTATCAATTTCTGAGATTTGTAAAAAAAAATAAACAATTTTGGGTGACACCCTGTATATTGTATTTTTCAACAAAATTACAGAACCTAAAATGAATGACCTTTTCAAAAACTTTAGCAATATTGGAAATTAAGTAAGTATAACAATTATTTGTTCACAAGAATAAAGCATATTTTGACTTTGAAATATGTCTGTAGCTATACCTATTTCCTGCAAGGTTTCAATGATGCAGGGGAAATGGGAAAAACCTATAGCATAACAATTAACTGTAGGTTTTCATAAAATGGTTTTTGTTCATCACAGGTAAACCAAGACAAATTATGTATTGCTTTTGCATTGGCTTTTACCAATGTGATGATGAAATCAGTATGAAATTGTATACGGAACACTACTTAAATACCGAGTTAAATACTAAATTATTTTCAATTATGCGTTTCAAAATGTACAAGCTAGAAAGTGAATGGAAACTTGAGCAAAAAGCTCCGCCACCCCTAAATGTCTTTGACAGGCTAGACATAGAGACCCTAACAAAACTATTCGAGAAATCTTTTCACTGATGGGTTTTGACGAAATATTTCGAATCTGAACAAGCTTCAGAAGCAAATTTTTTAGAATTTTTCCGAAAAAAATCACTTTAGGATCTAGACATTCATCATTCATTCACCTTTTGTTTGCAGGCAGCAACCCAAATCAACTTTCCTTTTTTTCGCAATAACGTGGAACCCGTACTTACCAGTCTTTTTATAACATAACAATAATTTACACGCTATTTACAATAAACTATAAACAAAGAAGGCGAAAAACTCGAAATTTATAAAAAAATTGCAAAAACTAATTAATTTCACTTCTTCACTGTTATTTTTCACGAAAATCATGGAAAAATTGACATAACACTGGCATTATTGACGTTTGGATCCTTTGACATGTACAAAATATGGCACTTGTCAGATGACAAGGGCTATGTTATCAACTGCCAGTACTCTGGATTTGTGCTGATTACTGTCATTTGCCGTTCCGATTTCAACAGCGTACTTTTGTGGTCATTCAGTACAGGAATCCACTGTACTGAAAATAATATCGGAACGGCCAGTAAATTCAGTACTGACAGTTGAGATCGGAACATAAGCAAAGGGCGTTTTCCTGCATCTCAATGTTTTGTTTGGAACATTTTTCAAAACTGGTTTAAAACAGTTTCACTATGCCGTCATAACTTTTCGGCGCAAGAAAATGGTTTGAAACCGTGGATTGGATTGTTTTTCGAAACGGTTGGAACCAATTTTGTGTGACGTCATGGGTTCATCCCGAGAATATACTATTTCAAACCTGTTTTGAACCAGTTTCAAAATGCGAGAAAACAGCTGGTTCTTTACTTGTTTCCGTTGGAAAACTGCTAGGTTCGGCTACTCCTTCACTGCACTCTAACTACTCCGTAGGCACTCCGACGGTGCTTGGCTTTTCGAACCAGTGCAAGGCATTTTATTTTTTACACTCGTTCCAAAGTTTCGGTTCGAACTGCAGCACTAGAGCTATTTTTCAAGACAAAAACTGCTCTGACTCCGCTTGAATAGCCGGACTCAGCTACGGAGTAAACAGAATCGTTTTAAAGAAATAAGAGCCGCTTTCCAGTGCCTAAATTGTTAGAGTATCATGCTCCTGAAGTGTGACGCTCTTGAACTGTTCGACATAAGCAGCACTGGAACGCTCTCGTCTTAACCCCCACCATTTCGGATTTCAGGAGCATGAAACACAGACAAAAGGGTTGGTGCACGAGGGGGCAGGGGATAACAGAAATGAGTAGCTCAAGTGTACGACACTCTAAGCACTGGAACGCGCAAAGCATTTGTGGAGCACTCCTGAGCTGCTCAGGAGTAACTCAAATGGGTCACTGGAAAGCACCTAAGAATAGTCAACAACTAAACTAAAACTTAACCTAAGATTCTTACTTAAATGGATTTCTTCATTTTAATTTCTTGATTAATCAAATTCAAATAAATAAATAAACATCCTAATTTAATAACAAACTGCTGAGCCGAGATGGATTTTTTAGTGGAATTAGTACTCCTTGGAGTAGACTCTATAATTTTAATAACCTGCATTAAGCAATATTATCACAAAAAGAATGCGATTTCTAGGATATTGGTGAGTATGTACTTATAGAAAACAAACCAATTCATCTAGTAGGCAAGCTAGTATCTAACTACGCCAAAATTAAAACTCTTGTGATACCTTCTGATCATTATATCAAAAGGCCCCAAGAAAAACTCGAATCCCTAGATGTGCCTTAAAAAACAGTATCACTCACTACCCTTATTGCAAAATCTCGGATACCTCTGTACCTCCTAGATGACCTCCACAGTAGTCCACAGGCCCATTCCAACATTTCCCATTAGTATTTTGAATAGCGGTCCTCAAGTGTTTGAAAGTATTTTTGTTGGTTATTATGTAACGTCTTTACTATCCCAATCAACTGAACGGCAATTTGGGTTTTTAACTCGGTTTTTAACTGGAAGGTCAGTGAGTTAAATCTACTTTTTTTTTGTTGAAAAGGGGTGTTAAAAGTAACCTGTGTGCAAGCCCATGTGAAGTGAGCTTCTTGTTGCCAGCAATAAAATAATTTACTAATTTAGAATACATACAAAATACATGTCCCCGCTAATTTGCCAACTTAGTAGGTATCAGGTATAAATTATAAGCAATAATTTATTAAACCACATAATTAAACATCTGACCCATCTCCTGTTACAAGTTCTAGACCAACAAATTATAGCTATTTTCTTGGTAGAGAATGTTTCACCTAAATTTTGATAGAATATTAGAGAGTAATTAGAAATATGTCGATAGCCGCCCTGAAAAGGGTGATAGGCAACGCAATTGCTAAACAAATATGTATACAGGGTGTCCCAAAAAGATACCGACAAACTTTAAGGGGTAGTAAGGGACATCAAAACAAGCATTTTTTTTTATATAAACATATGTCCGCAAATGAGCCATTTGGGCCGTAGAGCAAAAAAACTGTTCGGTACTCTTATTCTTCGCAATAATTAATGCACTATGTTTACTTATTTTGCTTTATTAACAAATAAATTATGGTTTACAATAATTGTTCAAAATGTTGACCATTTACTTCAATGCAAAGATTGCACCGTCGGGTCAATGACTGAAAAGTTTAGTCTACGAAACACCTGCTCGTAATGAGGAAGGTCTGTTAGCAAGGATACTGGCGAGTTGTACCCATGTAGAAGCTATTCCAGGAATATTTCAAAGGGTTCGCGAGTCAATGACCCGATGGTGCAATCTTTGCATTGAAGTAAATGGTCAACATTTTGAACAATTATTGTAAACCATAATTTATTTGTTATTAAAGCAAAATTAATAAGTAAACAGTGACTTAATTATTGCGAAGAATAAAAGTACTGAACAGTTTTTTTGCTCTACAGCCCAAATGGCTCATTTGCGGACATATGTTTATGTAAACAAAAATGCTTGTTTTGATGACCCTTACTACCCTTTAAAGTCTGTCGGTATCTTTTTTGGCCACCCTGTATACTTATTTTTTTATTGTCAAGAGAATGTTTCACTTTATATTTGATAGGATCTTGGAAATTAATCAAAAAGACGTCAAAAGAGCCTTGATCCAACCCCTTAGCGCTTTTGATAAGCGAGATTTTTTTTTAATATCTAGTCGGATGAGCGCCTAATCCTTCTTCTTTCATCCCAAAAGTTTTCAAAATTTTTCCCTTACTTCTACTTGTTTTCCACAAAAAAACATCAAAATGTTAGAGGTTGCATTTTTTAGTTTTTGAAGGAAGATTTTCTGGAATTTCTTATTTTATGGTTTTTGCCGAGGTTTTTCGTGTGTATTTAACTGGAATAATTTCAAATTTTGATATGATCAGCTCCCAACCTTCCCTTTTTAACTCCCAAACTCGCTCCCAAAGTTTCAAAATTTTCCCTTCACATGTATTCTAGAGAGATCAAGAAAAAGATTGAGATGATGCATTTTTTAAAAATCTAGTAAGTATTTATTTTAAACTAGATTTTTCTAAGGCTTTTCATTTTTTTTTTATTGATAACCTATTTTACTTATTTAAAGTACTCCTCAGCGTGTTTAAATCTAACTTTCAAAAACGCGCGTGTTTTAAAGTTATTATGACAACATCAACAACCCAAGAAAGGTGAAGTCTAAATGTCAACTTTTTAATTATTGATTTGTCAGGAATAGGTACTTGTAGATAACGTCAAATGAAATATAACAAGTGTTAAGCACGAATTTAGCATTCTACAATTATTAATAATTTATGATTTGAACGTATAACAATAAAAAAAAATAGTGTAAAGTATTCTTGGATAACTGGTCTTTAAAACACTTGCTCTATCTATCTATAAAAATCGCCTGTGTTTTAAAGACCTTAATATCCACTTATATTTTAATATACTAATGTTTTTTTAGTAGATTTATTTCAAATTTTAGTATCATAAGTTCCTTCCTCGGTTTCTTCTTCCTCTTTTTACTCCCAAAGTTTCAAAATTTCCCTCTAACTTGTTTTCCAAAAAAAAACATCAAAATGTTAGATGTTGCATTGTTTTAAAATTTAGTTTTTGAAGCTAGATTTTCTGGAATTTCTAATCTTATGGTTTTTCACTAGATCCATTGTGAATTTTAGTATGATGAGCTTTCAATTTTCCTCTTTTCATTCTAAAAGCTTAAAAATCTTCCCCTTGTCTAAAAAACTTACTAAAAATTGATAGAAATTTCGGAGGTTGCATTTTTTTTAAATTTAATACTCGATCTAGTATTTAGAAGTAGATGTTTGAGAATTTGTAGGAATTAGCAGGAAATTTTAGGAATTTTGCGTAAAAAAATCCTCTTTGGGATATTGTTTGCATACATCCGGGGAAAGGGGGGGGGGTTTCCCCTGGGGTTTACCCCTTGTAAGTTTTAGTATGATGAGCTCCGGAGATGAGGTCCTAATCTTCCTCGAGATCTTCCTCTTTTCATTCCTCAATTTTTAAAATATTCTTCTTACTTGTTTTCCAGAAGAGAACCGAGATACAAGAGATGTCCCAAAAAGCAAAATTTTCAAAAACACCTTGTATCTGAAAAACAAAAAGGGCGATGAGAATTCTAAAGAATGAAGGCTTTCACGGCCGGTCAAATCTAGTGAAACAGTATTTTCCGGGCTATAATGCCATGGTCCATTAGTATTTCTACCTAACGTTTCTTCCACTGCTGCAGTAGACATCTTTAGAGGCGGTGTGGTAGAGGACGAAGTGTTCTCTTCCGTGTTACCCCGATGACTGAATTCGACGTTGTTAGGCCTGCGTTATTTATATCCAGGGTTGTGGGCTTGGCTTGTATTACGCTATTTTCCTTGTCTCGTTCTCGGAAAGGAAGGGTCTTTGTTTTTCGGAGAACTGGCAACCAGCTTTTGTTGAGGTTCATGCCCTCTTCTTTTCTGTTGAAGATGTTGTGGTGTTTCTGTATCTCTATGGCTTCTCTGTGGAGTCTTGTGTAATAATGTTTGGTTCTATCCAATGCTTGAGTCTGGTCGAAACGAATGACATGGTTTGTTTGTGTTAGTACGTGTTCGGCGATTGCTGATCTATCTATTTGTCCCTGCTGACAGTTCCTTTTGTGCTCTTTGACCCTGGTGTTGATAGAACGTTTGGTTGTTCCTACATAGACAGATCCACAAGAGCAGGGAATTCTATAGACGCCGCCGTTTCAAGAGGTGCCCTAGGATCCTTGGCCGATCTTAGACTTTACTGAATTGTTCTTATAGGCTTGTAGATAGGCTTAATGTTGTGTCTCTCTAGCGTTCGTCCTATGCGATCGTGACATTTTTGATGTAGGGAAGAAGGGAGAGCCTTTCTATATCTATAGCGCAGGCCCAACAACGTCGAATTCAGTCATAGAAGGAACACGGAAGAGAACACTTCGTCCTCTACCACACCGCCTCTGAAGATGCCTACCGCAGCATTAGACGAAACGTTAGGTAGAAATACTAATGGACCACGGCATTATAGCCCGGAAAATATTTTTTCACTAGATGACAATTCTGTTGGCGCCATCTTTCGTTTTACAAAAAAGTAGCCAACGTTCGTGGAAACCGCATCCTCCTAACTCCAATAGCAAAGATTTGATACTTTCAAGAAGGTCATGATCCCAAATGCAAGAAAAATTGATAAGTGTGTGGTCAGCTTGGGTTTGGCAATTGGAAATTTGGTTGTTGCCTTTCGCAAAAACAGATTGAAAATACTATGCAAAAACATTTGCTATACCCATAGAGTCAGCAAACCTGTCAATGTCAAGCTCCATTTTCCGTGGTATCTCACCATGCCCCGACTTACCACGCACAAAAGACCAGAAAGTGTTTAGATCAAGCTTCAAACTTTCTTCAACCGTTTTTTTTTTTTTTTTGTGTTCAAGATAGTATTTCTTGGTTTGAATCTTAATTTCCCTTCTTGAAGTTTTAAATTCGGTTCGCTCTGAAACTCTGCCTCTCATAATCAGAATGTGCAAATTATGTTTCCCCCTGACTTTACGAACCAAGTCCGTGGAGTACCGAGTAAGATACCTACGAGGGCGTCTGTCCACTCTTATTTCATATTTAGGAATGGATAAGTCTAAGCATTCATACAGGTGTTTGTATCATAATTTTGGCAATTTGGCCATGCATCAAAATGGTTTTTTATTTTTTTACTTGAAAACGGTCCATCGTTCGGAAAAAAGTGAAGAGAGCAATTTTGTTCCAAATTGAATGGGGATTTTGAAAATAATTTTTCTTTTAGAAAAAAGCAGTGGCGACATTCTTATCAGTGTTACTATCAAATAAATATGGTAAATTAAAATCTCCTAAAATAAGCTTATTACAATCTCTATTCGTAAATATATCCTGAAATAAGTTTAAAAAACCCTCATAGGTCTCTGCATCCTGCATTAGGCGGAAAATAGACAACACATGCATAAATAGCTATTTATACAATAAGTTGCGAAATGAGCGTCTTTTAGGCACGCGACGTGAAAATTGTCCAACGAGGCAAAGCCGAGTTGGACAACACGTCGAGTGACTAAAAGACTTCGTTTCGTAACGTATTGTATACAAGATTTTTTCTACTGGCGTTTCATAATAAAAAAA